CAAGATGACTGAACTGATACAGCTCCCAAAAACGCACTGGTTCCACTAATCTCAGGTCTTAAATCAAACCGGCTAAGAGTAAGAAGATCTCTATACAATGAACACCTCAAAACCGAAACCCGATGTTGACGCTTCCTGCTTAAAGCATCTGCTATGATGTTCACCTTCCCCGAATGATACTGAATCGCGAACTCGTAGTCCTTGATAAACTCAATCTATCTCCTCTGTCTCTGGTTAAGTTCCTTCTGAGAGAAAAGATACTTCAGACTCTGATGGTCTGTGAACAACTCAAACTGTACTCCATACAAGTAGTGCCTCCATGACTTTAGTGCAAATACCACTGCTGCTAACTCCAAGTCATGAGTGGGATAGTGTTGTTCATGTACCCTCAACTACCATGATATATATGCTACTACTCTCTGAGTCTGCATTAATACACCTCCTAAGCCTGACAACGATGCATCTGTGTAGATGACGAACATCATGTCGCTGCTCGGAATAGTCAAAACTGGCGTTGAAGTCAACTTAGTCTTCAAGATATCAAAGGCCTTCTGGCACTCCACACTCCAAATGAACTGTGCATCCTTCTTCGTAAGGTGTGTAAGTGGCGTCAAAATCTTCGAGAAGTCCTGGATGAACTTCCTATAATAGCCGACTAAGCCCAAGAAGCTACGAATCTCTGTCACCGTCTTTGACGGTTCCCAATCAAGAACTGCTGTAACCTTAGTTGGATCCACTGTTATGCCCTCTTTACTGATGACGTGGCCGAGAAATCTGACTTCTGAAAGCCAAAATTCACACTTGCTAAACTTGGCATATAACTGATGCTCCTGCAGAGTCCTCAAAGCTAACCGTAGGTGCTGCTCGTGGTCTGCCTTGTTAACCCTATAGTTTTGATGATGATTTGTCAAACAATTTATCGCTAATATGTTCTCTAGTTTTGTTTTTATGTTTCTCTTTACAGGTATTTCAACACATGACAATCAAGCGTTAAAGATTCAAGTTCATATGTGTGGAGTTACCTAGGTATAAGAGTAGTTTACTTGCATATATTGTATGTTTATATTTAAGCTCAATATATGTACACTTAACACGATTTTTAACGTTTTCTATCATATAAATGATTTTTCATCAAACGTTGTTACAATATCTTTTATTTCATGTTTTCAGCTCATTCATACTTTATTATATACATATAATATATGCATGATATATATATACATGTTTATGAGTCATATCAAAATTTTCATATTCGTAAAATACAGGTTTTACGAACACTTTTCAAAAATAGTGTGTTTTGCAAACGAAAATTATTTTTCCAAAAATTTCTTTTCGAACATGTTCATTTTATCATTTAGAAACTTTTCCCAAAGTTTCATTATTTTTGGAATTGATTTGCTATTTTTAAAGTATTTTCAAAATCGGCCAAAAACAGGTTTTCAGACTGTGTCAGTTTGCGGTCGACCGCCACGTTCGACCGTCATGAACAAATTTTCAAAGTCTAGCTTTTATGTGCTCATAGTCAACCGTGACAGTCGACCGTAAAACCATCCAGAGACTTTCACGGTTGACCGCCAGCTTTCATTTTCAAACCTCAGTGTTTTTGTGCTTCGCGGGCGGCCGTCGCCCGCCACGGTCGACCGCCGAACTCATGATTTGATTCCAACGGCTAGTTTCTGATTTGATTCTCTATGGGCTTTTTGGTCATTTCAAGTTAGTTTTTGCTGAGTTCTTGAGTGGGTATAAATACCTCATTGCTCTTCTAATTCAGCAACTAAGAAAACCAAGAGTTTTGTTTTTACAAGAAGTTTTAACAAAGGTTTAAGAGGCGTTTAAAGAGCTGTTAAGCTAATTTTCGTTAATCTACTTCAAGAGAAGTTTTCTACAATAAGAAGTGGCTTTCAATTCCTATTGGGATCATCATCCACTACTCTTCTTGTTTATTGAGAAGTTTTCTTAACTCTTCCTTATATAGCTTACTATTTCATTCTCATTTATTTAGCTATATTTATTGAGTTATATTATTTTCATTCACTATTATCACACACACATATTGAGCTTAATATCTTCATACTATATAGTGTGGGTTGTGGGGTGTGATTTAGTGAGTGTGAACTTCATTTGTGTTCTCATTTGTTGTTGAGAACAAATCACTGTATTTATCTTTATTTGTGAGTATAACTTGTAATACACTTGTACACCGAGAGAAGTGTGAGGCGAGAGACAGGGTCGAATCCAATAGGAGTGACGTCGGTTGACGAACCTAGGGAGAGGTTGCATCCGAGCACTTGAGGAGGAGGACACGGGCTAGGTTCCTACACTTAGTGTGTAAAGTGTGATTGTATAGTGTTTGTTGTGTGAGAGTTTTCGGTAAGCTTGTAAACCGAGTGTGTAAAAGTTTTGGCTTCCAAACCGGATTGTGATAATGAAGATCTCCTCGAGGTGAGGAGCAGGAACGTAGGTCGTGGGGACCGAACCTCGTAAACATATCTTGTGTTTGTGTTTGCTTAGCGTATATTTCATTTGTGCTTATTCTTATCATTCTTATTCATATTTATCTCTTGCAAGAACAAATTGATCAACATAATTTTAATTGGTATTTAATCAGGATTAGATTAGCATAAGACTCTAATCACCCCCCCTCTAGGGTCTAACAATTGGTATCAGAGCTTGGTGCTCTTTGATTTAAGGACTAATCGCCTTGAGTTAAAGATCCAAGTTATCATTTTCGTAATAATCTAGTATTGATCGTTTTTTGTTTCTTGCATATAATCATTATGGATATGTATGATGCATCTAGTCTAGGTTATGCTATTAATGTTGCTCCTCGTTTGGATATTTTCCCCTATACTCAATGGCGTGTTAGATTCAAACTTTTTGTTCAATCTAAACAATTTGATTTATGGAAAATTATTGAGGATGCCTATGTCATTCCTATTTTGGAAAAATCCAAATGGAATGAAAATGATAAAAGATTGTTTAATATGAACAAGATTTTGTTAGAATATTTGCTTAATACTTTTCACTCTTCATTTTCTAACAAATTTGCTAATTTTGATTGCTTACGCCTTATGAAAATTTATTGAAGCACATGAAGGGGACTTGGAGGCTATTCAACAAGCGTTGGAAAATCCCGCTTTGAGTTCTAAAGAAGTCTCATCTTCATGCACAAAACCACTAGGTGATAACCCTAGTGAGGTATGCGAGCTTGATAACGATGATATTATTACTTTTGATGAACTTGCTCTTGAGTTTGAAAAATTACACAAATGCTATATTGATGTAAAGAGTAAGTATGTAAATATGAAATCCACTCATGAAACACTAGCCACTAAGTTTAATTTTATTGCAAATGAAAATATAATTCTTAAAGAATGCAATGAAAATTTAAGAATTGAAAATGCTAGTTTGCTTCATGAAAAACATGATGTCATGTTAGAAGTAGATAAGTTGAAATCTATAATGAAAAATCTTGTTTATCCTACTTTTAGTAGCAATGCTTGTATACACAATGATGAGTTAAATCAAATGAGAAAACGTATATCTACCTTAGATTCAACACTAAACACTTGTATTGCTAATAATAAAAAGCTTGTGGACTTGTGTGCAAAATACAATGTTAATTCTTCTAAAAAACATATTCACTATGCACACATGTATGACAAAATTCATAAATGTTCTATTTGTGGTCTTAAAGGCCATTTAGCCCAATTTTGTCATAATGCACAAAAAATTGATAAGCCCATTCATGATTGTGCATCCCATCAAGCTTCTTCATCTCATACACATGTACACACACATAGTGTAAATCATAAACATGCTCATGTGTATAAATGTGATTATTGTGATCGTTTTGGTCATTTGGCCATGTTTTGTTTCGATTTGAAAAGAAATTCTCATTTGCAAAAAAATTACAAAGAAAAATCTATTTTTGCAAATGAACCACGTGCATTTCATTTCGGTCAACACAAACCATTCAACCTCTACATTGCACAAATTATAATCATATGGGTCATGTTTACAATTTTTATTTTGACTGTATCGGTGCACAAAATACGTCCAAAAGGGTTCATAACCCTAGGGCCTTGGATTTACATGATCGGGGTCATGTCCTAAATTTTAGTGGTACCAAAATGATTTGGGTACCAAAATGAGTTTTGAATCTATCGTTGTGATTTTTTTTTTGTTTTATAGTTGTTTTTGAATGATGATTTAGTTTTTATTAAGCTAAAATAAAATATTTTCGCGATTTAATAGCTAAAAACTTTTTATACATATTTATATCTTATAAAATAATTTTCTTAAAGGTCCAAATTGAATTCTTCATAAAACCAGACTTTATAATATTTTTTGATGATATTTTTCTCGCGGTCGATCGCCACGGTCGACCGTCAAAGTTTCTGGAAGTTGTTACGGTCGACCGCCGCGGTCGACCGCAAGAATTTTTTTTGCGTCGATTTTGTTTTGTTATCGGGTTTCGGTTTTATTTAGTTAAACTTTTCAAACCCGAATGTATCACCATCGTTGATCTTATTGTTGAGCTGATCTGAGCCGCTCCTTCTTCATCTTAATTAACCCAACCCTCTTCTTCTTCCCCAAATTTTGTCGATTTCTGCTCTCGGTCGCCCGCTGTTCGCCATCGCTCGACCGCAGCTCTTATTCTCTCTCATTTGGCCATCTCTTCATCAATTTCGTGTTGGAAATCAGTTGGGTAATCCCTCATCTCACTCTTGTGCTCTATTTCATAATCTAGGGTTTCTTTCACTTTCATTTCTAGGGTTTTCAATTTCTGTCGAATTTTATATCTATTTAAACCCTAATTGATCATATCTGTCACAATGCCTCCTAAGAAAAGATCTTAGCCTGAGTCTGGTTCCTCATCTTCCATTGCCTCCCACTATGAGGATTACTTTCTGTTCAAACCCCTTATTAAGAAATATAGGGAACTGTGTAAACTGAAAATCCTGCCTACTCGATATATCAAATATGAGGAACTAGCCATGTATGATATTCATGATATTCTGTATGCTGTTGGTTTGCATAAGCTGCTAGACGTAGAACGTAAAGTTCCTCATTACTCATTCCTTGTCTACTTATTTTATGCAAACCTGACTGTCACCACTTCTGCCGATGGTATTCAAACCATATCCACATCTGTTAAGAACATTCAGATCTCTTTTTCTGCCGACGAACTTGCGGGAATCCTTAAAATTCCAACAAGTGACGTTGAACTTATGTCTATCGATCACACCGATCAGGCTGTAAACGATATCTTGTTTAAGCTCGGTTGCACCTATCCTATGAACAACAAATCACTCAATCCCACTGCTAAAATTATAGCTCGTATTGTTGCTCATAATCTCATTCCCAAAACCGGTAGCTTTGATCATTTTGCTCCTGATAAGGTTAGTGCTGTTTATGCCATTTTTGCCAAAATAAAAGTGAATTGGGCAAATGTTTTTCTTAAGAACATGGCATGCAAGCATTACAAATTTTTTCCCTTTTGTAGCTTCATCACCCTCATTCTCCAACACTTCGGTGTTGCTCTATCCAATGAACCCAAAGTTGATCCGGGTAAGGAATATTTTGATAGAGTCTCTCTCTCTCTCTCCTGTATGCAACTTTCCGACTCCTTATCTGATCCTGCTCAGCCATCATTTCTCGGTCTAGAGTTTCTACCTCTTCCACTTTTGATATCTGTGCCCGTCTGGATCGTCTTGAGACTCAGGTCTCATCGATTCAGAAGGATGTTCGGACCATTCTATCTTATCAGCGTCAATCTCTAGGGATTCCGGATCCATCTTCTAGTTCTGATTCTGAGGAGGGCTCTACTAATGGATCTGCTTCAGGCTCTGGTTCGGGATCTGCTTCCGGATCTGATGATGATGGTGGTGATTGATTTTTATTGTTGATTTTCATGCTCATTATTATGTATTGGTGAAACAAAACTCGCTACTTATGTTTTTATTTTTAGTTTCTGACTCTATGTTTGTGTGGAAAACTATGTGACTTTGTGAAACAATTTGTGTATAGTTTGTAGTATTGTGGAACAAATTATGTTTGTGGAAAACTATGTAGTATTTGGTGTTTAAGTGATGATTTGTGTTTTATTTGGTCTATATATTGTTTATGGTTGTATTTGGATGGAGATGGTTGCTTAGCTCCTATGTATAAATATGATCTTTATATATCATCTATGCAAATTGACAGGGGAAGCTTTAGATGTATATTTGTTTATTATCTGTGCTTGTATGCAGGGGGAGCATTGCTCCTATTCAATATATATTTATTTTTTCCCTTTTTGATGTTGTCAAAGGGGGAGAAAATCTAATGTGGTTTATATGGTTGATTTATGATATATATTGTCTATATGTTTAATTCATATTGTATGTGGTTTATCAGTATATATTTCATATCAATAAATAAATTGTTTGCCATCATCAAAAAAGGGGAGATTGTTGACCCTATAGTTTTGATGATGATTTGTCAAACAATTTATCGCTAATATATTCTCTAGTTTTATTTTTATGTTTCTCTTTACAGGTATTTCAACACACGACAATCAAGTGTTAAAGATTCAAGTTCATATGTGTGGAGTTACCTAGATATAAGAGTAGTTTACTTGCATATATTGTATGTTTATATTTAAGCTCAATATATGTACACTTAACACGATTTTTAACGTTTTCTATCATGTAAATGATTTTTCATCAAACGTTTGTAGATGTCAAAAAATGCTTACGGACATCCAAATACTGCTCAAGACAAAGAGAAGACGATAAACGCCATTATCTCAGTCGGAGGGGATCATCCAAAAGAAGCGAAACAACATAGAAGAACATTGTGCACACCAACGACAAAATACACTGACAAGCGACATGTATAGGCGCAACAACCCATGGTGACACGCCTAAGGCACGGCAGCCCATGGTGACGCGCCTAAGGCGCGGCAGCCCTTGGTGACGCGCCTAAAGTGCGGCAATCCATGGTGACGTGCCAAAGGCGCGGCAGCAAAGGGTGACGCGCAAACATAATGGCCTCTTATGTAAATTGTTGGTAATTTTTAAGATCTCTTGAAGGTCCACGTGACAGCATATCAGAAAGGGTACGTGTACTGACGTGGATAAGCAGTTAAACCACGAAAAAAATGGTTAAAAGTCGTAGGAGAATGGTTTTAAACATGTTGGAACGTGGTAAAAACCGTCTCTTTGGCTGCGCCAGCCTACGCTGACGCGCCAATAGCCGCAGCAGCATGGACTGACGCTCCCAAAGAGCATACACTCGATCAGTTATTTCGCCTCTATTTCTACTATTGTGCACTCCTATCCCTATAAATACCTCCCTAGACACGAAACAAAAAAAAGAGTAGATTAGAGCATAGAGACTTGGGCTTTTGGTGATTTTGAGGAAGAGAGAGAGAGTCTTCATCTTTCATAAATAGTGTTTAGTGATTCTTAGAGATCTAAGCTCAGACTTGGTCTTTGGAAGAGTGAACATCTTACATCAATAAGATATTCGCTTCAAATTCCTACTTCGATAAACGAAGGAAGAATCTCTAAACCCCCTCACAATCTGTGAATCGGTGGTCCACAAGCCAAAGCACTCCCGGCACAGGCAAAGTCCAATAAAACAAAAGTCGATAAACGATTGTTTATTTTCTCGAAAGTTGTAATTTTCTTATTTTTTATTGTATTTTATTGTAAATGACTGAAGTTTAATGGAATCATCAATGGAACCGACTTTCGATGAAAACAAACTGGCGACCACAGTAGGAACCAACGGTCTCGCTGCCGAGGCCGTAGTGTCGCAGCCGATCAAAATCGTGGTCAATGAAGAGATCGAATATGAATTCGATCAAGCAAAATTCGAGGAGTATCTGTCATCCTCATCCTCAAAATCTTCCTCGCCTAGCAAGTGCAGGAAGATTTCCTGTTCCAAGAAATTTTTCAAGTCTTCAATTCCGATGAAGACCGCAGGTGAAAGTTCTTGCCCGATTATTGCTAAGGAATCTGCCTACAACATCTCTGCTCTAAATGACTCTGCACCAATTAAGGAGTCATTGAATTATGGCCCGCCGGCACTGACGAAAAGAGCTTGTCAGAGGCAACATCAGCGTCGGGCTCGTCAACTGGCTAAGGCCTTACAACAAACCGACGGGATCCATTACTATGCGGACTTAGAGTCGAGGAAGCATAAAGTGGTCCAGTTGCCTCAACGGCAAACTAATCACGTTTCTGCACAACTTACGACTGAGGAATGGACTCTCGTCAAAAGAGCCCGTTCAACCCTTAAAGAACGTATACAAAAGCGTCAGATGAAGGCCGCTCGTGCCCGTGCCCTTCGTCAACAGACGCAAGGAATGAAGAAAGAAATGGTGTCTAAAAAATCACCAAAGAACCGTAAAGTTTGGATTCGAAAAATGTTTTATTTTGATTTTGGTGGAAGAGACGTTTCTTTTGTTGAGGAAAGGGTTTGGATTCAATATTGTTTACTTTGGGTTCTTTGGGTTCGAATTTTGTCACATTTTTCTCCCTAAGTCTATGTTGCTCTTCGATTCTAATGGAATTCAACACTTGTTCAAGGGTAAGATCTCCTTGGGTATGATTAAGGTTTTTGGTAAAATCTGACCAGGACTCAGGAAGTTTGTCTATAAGACAGGCTATCTGAAATGTTTTATCTAAGATAGATCCATTCACTTTTAATTGGTGAACTATATGTTCGAATTCATGAATTTGCTCATTCATCGGTTTAGAAGCTACCATTTTAAATTTGTTAAAATCAGAAGCTTTAAATCTTTTAATTCCCATATCATCTAAACCGTACTTTTTCTCTAGTGTTTCCCACAGAACTTTAGCATTAGTGATAGTATAATATATATCATATAACTGTTGGCCTTCTTATTTTGATGATGATTTACAAACAATTTATATCTAATATTGTTTGTCTAGTATTTGTATTTTGTATTTATTCTAGGCAAACAACATGTTGGAGGATGGATGGAATAGAGCCTCAACGATCATATTCAATGGAGATTGGCGGAATAGTGGAGTGAAGCCTCGCAATTCAAAGTTAAAGATCAAGTTCAAGCTTCATCCGCATAGTGTACCAACTACCAAGTCAAGCTTATTGAAGATCAAGATCGGCTTGGGTAATCTAGTTTAGGTTTTATATTATGTGTTTACCAAGTCAAGCTTATTGAAGATCAAGATCGGCTTGGGTAATCTAGTTTAGGTTTTATATTATGTGTTTTAAGTATCTTAAGCTCAATATCATATACACACACGTATTTGGTTTCAATGTATATATATAGTTATATATATACATGCATGGTTTTGGGTTTTCATGTTTACAAATATGAAATTACATATTTCATATTTATTATTGTGATTTGGTTTAACTACTTAGATATGAAACAAATATATTTACATATACATACTTATATGTTTCATTTTCTATTGTATTTGTAAAAATATTATATTCTTAGTTTTTGGACTTAACAATAATCATATACATATTTTATTAAGTCTACATAATCATTGTGCAAAGTTTCAAAACATGGTTTAGCCAAAATATCAAAGTTCACATGTTTACATTTTTCATGTTTTGGCCTATTTTGTAAAATAATGATATTTTTCATTTGGGAAGTCCTTTTTGGAAACCAGTTATTGTAGCATGTTTATTATCAAGTCTACAATCATTCCCCAAAGTTTTATATTTTTTAGAATTTATTTGATATTTTTAAACAGGGTTTTAAAATCAGCATTTTAGCTTTCAAAATCTGTTTTAGCATGTATCAGTTCGCGGTTGACCGCCACGGTCGACCGCCATGAGTTCAGAACTCATGTTATTTTTTATTGGTTCGTGGTCGACCGTAGCAAGTCCAGAGACTTTCGCGGTAGACCGCCGTGGTCGACCGCCGCTTGTCCAGAGCCATAGTTTGTTTTTTTGTTGCTTGTGGTCGACCGTCGCGGTCGCCCGCCGAACAGTCAAATCTGTTCTAACGGCTAGTTTCCAGAACCGTTGCTGTATTGGTTTTTTGGTCTTTTTCTTGGCTTTCTCTTGGCTTTGAGGTTTCTATAAATACCCCTTATAACTCAGATCTTTTAAGCAATCCAAGAAATGTTTTAACAAGTTTTAAAAGAGTTTAAGTTTGGTTTTAAGTTTGTTTGAGGGTTTGGTTTGTGAATAATTCCATAAGAGGAAGTGGAGATCAATTCATTGAGCTTCAATCCATCTCTCTCTCTTATCATCTAGAGAAGTT